TATGCAGTGTGTTTATTTGTTGTTTACCACCGCACTCAGCAATACTTCAGGCATATCACGGCAGTCTAAAAATAATCGAGTGTGGACCAGGCAATCCAGTTATTGCCTCCATGAGCATCGATCCTTGTCGTCGGTGTAGGCTGACACGTTGTCAACCAAGTCACCAATCCTGACCTGACCTAAACCGAAATTCACAAAGGGTGTGACTATGCAGACATGTTTCCCTGTTTCTTATGACCATGATGACGGTATTGCCACGACTTGAGGCACTGATACTACCTGACGGCCTGATTTCTGAAATTTAATAACGAAAAAAGAGCTGCCTCCCCTGTACTAATCGAACAAGAGTTTATCTGAATGTTAATCACATTGTAACAGTTTGAAATTAAACGGAGTGCTGAAATAATAACCATGGAAAGTGTGATATATATGTATCAGAGCGTTTGTACAGATGGACTTTCAGGACATCTATGCCAATGACATGCTCCCCTAATGATATGCCGATGCTTTACGAAGCCATTTATAGTCCTAGTTGCATTATGACCTTAAACGTGTACCATGTTTACTTATCTTTCCTTGCATTAAGATACTGACAGTTAAGGTCCAGATAAGGTACAGGTAAGGTACAGATAAGGTACAGATTCCATGTCTCCAACTAGAAAATGTCAAACTTGTTAAACATACGAATACAATGATATGATTATATTTTGTCGGAACTGGACACCTGTCAGATGCATTGATACATGATAATTGTGTTACCTTAGCACCGATCTGGTTGCCGCACTGGCCAGCTTGCATGTGGACGATCTCACGCATGTTGAATGTTGGGGGAAGAACGGAGACGAAAGTCCTTGTTACTGTGGAATACAAGCTGGGCACTTGAGTTGTAACTGACCAGAAGTACCGGTCGCTGTTTTTATATTGTTATGGATTATTGGCCTCTTACAAATGATTGGTTAACTGTCGCTGGGTTCTTAGTCGCTACAAACACGGTTAATCCTAATCCAAGGTTACAGTACTCACTCATCCGTGATAATCCGTAAACTACATCTTTACGGATGAACTAATATATTTAGGCAGATTTAAATTCTGAAACTGTTTGGGTACAATTGAGCTCTTTCTACGAAAATTTCAAAGAGCTCAAAAGTTGTTTGATAAAGACTACAATATTCAAAGCCTCAACAGGGCTTTCAAAAATATTGACTCATAAATACACGATTTTGATACAGTCGGTATCGTACGCTTTCCTTTTATAATATATTTGTTTAATTACGGAAATGTTTTTGTAGCTCTTTATTTATAACACAAGCGTTTATCACATTTGTCGTGGCAGCCCATGCTAGATAATCTGTTTTGTTGGTTTTTCGATAAGTTCCCAGATAAACATGAATCACGGAAATGTTGGACGTGGTGCTTGGTCGATACCTTTGGTTTTAATACGGTGAAACCCTAACGTTAAAAAAACCCCACACAACTGTAAAGATTTGGATATAAAGTTCTTTTCCATTGCGTACACAATCGGAACAGAGATTATAGTACACGGTTTGATTCGCTTAACAATCTGCATGTGAGAGAGTTTGGTTTTACGCCACTTTTAGCAATATTCCGTCAATATCACGACTTTACACCATGTGCCCATTTGGTGAATCAAACCGGGACTTGAAGCACGACAAGCCCACTCTTTAACCACTAGGCTACCCTACAGCCCCTTTCTACATGTGGGTCTTGTAAATAGTTGTGGAGAATAATTAGGTTGACCATCGCTGGGTAGGTAGATATACGTGTAGAGAACAACACTGGTTGAGGACATAGGTTTGAATGGATGACATATTCCAAGAGCGTCACACTCTATCGTAAAAGTTGTTCGATTAGGTTAAAATCTTAGCAAAACATTCAAAACATTTTATGGCAGACATGTGGAATACATTTCCAAATTTGATGCATCAATGAAGAAAGGACGTCAGATGCAATTCTTTTAGTTATTATGACTTGTACCCGTGTGTTTTTCAGGTTAACTCTGGACTTGCATTTGCATATGTTTGTGACGGGTGGGGCCACATACGCTTACCTTCACGCTAACACCTGCTATCATCAATATTTGATAGTCTGTCATCTGTCTGTCTACACAAAAATACCCATGTCATATAGTTACATATTTTGCGTATGTATCTAAAGGACCCAGAGCAACCGTGTTTCATTGTGTGAATGTTCATCTTTGTAAATGTCTGGTTCAAGCCTCCAATTATTTGTATATTTGTTTATTTACTGTTTAACGCCGGACTCAGCAATAGCCCAGTTCTGTGTTGATGAAGATCAATTATAGCCCAGATCGCCTCCAATAGTATGGGCTTATAGCAAATCTGCACATTGACTTTGCTTTTCTAACTGTTGTGGTAAAATATATATATATACAGGTGATTTCATCAGGTGTATAAGTATTAAACATAATTAAATATAGAAAAAACATCACTAGCTATGACGTTATATGCTTTATGACGTCAAAAGCATAACTTTGGCTGTTGCCTAGGACTACGTTTTACTTCTCCCTCTATTGTCACTATTACATCATAGGCATTATGACGCCACAAATACTACTGTTATGCGGCGCATATATATATATATATATATATATATATATGTGTGTGTGTGTGTGTGTGTGTGTGTGTGTGTGTGTGTGTGTGTGTGTGTGTGTGTGTGTGTGTGTGTGTGTGTGTGTGTGTGTTCGTATTCATATTGACTAACTTGACTTAACTATCGTATATAAAACGTGTATATATAGTCATTACAAAGTAGACACAATTATTGGATAACAACTTCTTTAATACGATAAAGGCGACGTTTCGGTTTAAATCCTAATACCGTTGTCAAGCAATACTGAATGAGGAACATTGTACAGAATATATATAGTGGTGGAGGATTTACAGTAGAGAATAACAGTAACAACGTTAACAATTGCATGCTTGACTGGGATAGCGTGTGTAAGTAATGCCAACAGAAAGATAATACTGTAACAACGTGATGGGCAGAGAATACATAGGTGGAATATATAGTCATTTATTTGGAACGTCAAAAAATAATCACTCTCGATTATTCACCAAAACGGATTCCATCGGACGTGAAAGACACAATTATATGAACGGAATACTGAAAATCAGTGATGACAGCAGGTGTTCACGAAAAGGGCAATAATCTGCATAGAGAAGTAAGTGTTTGCTTGAGTGAGTGAGTTGGGTTTAACGCCGCTTTTAACAGTATTCCAGTCATATCGCGGCGTGTCAGCTTAATGTGGGAGGAAAGCCCGAAGTGATGCAGGTTTCAGACGTTTACCACTTCGGTGAAACCCAAGAGCACGGGTATGGTGCTGACAAACCTAGAAACATAATTGGGGCGAACCGGGATTCGAACCCACAATCATAGGTTTCTAAATTAAAAATAGTCCATGTGTAACGAGAACTCGTTACCTATAATTGTCAAGTCATCCTTCAGGATTATCTGTTTGAAGATGCGATGTCGGATTAAAAGGGCATAACTCTAAACCATGGTTCGTTATGGATTATCCGGACGATTACAGTGAAAACGGTATCGTCTGGATTAACGGGGATTCATTTTATAGTTATTCAAAGAGAATCAGAAGTAAATAAGTAAATGCTGTTTAACACCATTATGCATCTGTTTGAAGTTGGCCATGGCAATACAAGACAAAGCCGTCATTAGTCAACTCTTGTTCTGTCCCGGGATCTTTATTGGGAGTGGACCATGAACATGGTGTATGTTTGTGCATTTATGATGAAAGTATTCATGGTTTTTGTTTCATGACGTGCCCATCGGAGAAAGCACAAAGACCCTAATGGCTTTATTATTGTATATCTAGTATTTAACATCGCACTCAGCAAATTTCCAGCTATTTGACGGCGTTCTGTTACCACACAATCCAGTGACTGATATCATAATTAACGAGCCACCCAATTCTGAGCGATTAAACCCGTGAAGATCCGGGATGGAATAGGTCCTCCTCAACTCATGCTTGCTGTAAAAGGTGACTATGCTTGTCGTAAGAGGCGACTAACGGGATCGGGTGGTCAGGCTTGCGTAGTTTGATTCTCATGATATCAATCACTAGATCCAAATGGTAGCTTCTTACGACAAGTATAGGTAGCTTTGGACTTGTATTCTTACCTAAAATCCCCACGATTCAAATGCCAAATTGAATATAACATAACAACAGTGAGTGAGGTGCCCTGATATTGCATCTGACAGTGACAGTTAGAAACTTACATATACATATACTTGCAATACTGTCATTCTTTATATGTAATTGGAGTTATTGTGTAGTGCCTATGTTAACGTCACTGAAACCAATTCAACCTCACAATATATGATGGCCTGAAGTCAGTCCCAACAAGACACAATTACAATATACACAATCAGAAAGTAATGAATTCATTGAAATTTCTTTCATGTAATTTGTGATTGGCAATACATTGTCCTTTAAAAGTGAAATTTCTTTTGATGTATTTATATCTAGTGTGAGAGTAAATATGGTTTTAGGCCGCTTTTAGCAATATTCCAGCAAAATCACGACGGACACTCGAAATTGGCTTCACACATTGTACCCATGATTTATAACTAGTTTTACCTTATATACCCAAAATAACGAGAAATAGAACTGAAGGCAAAAGTTCGAAGTATTTGAACCCCATAAAAACCAAATGAGCTGCATTGCCTCAACTTTCATCTTAATTTTCGTGGTTGCCTGCGGGACTAATCAATATCCCCGCTCTCACTCACGTAAGGTGACCTCACGTTGGGCCATAGTAGCTGATGGTAACTGAGCTTTAATATTGTCTCACTTTTAAACAGATTACTTGAACGAAAGGTTTGGGCATTTCTTAGGCAAGAGCTGCGTTTTTCTCTGTATTTTCCCCATCCATGTGTGTTACTCTTGAAGTGTCTACAATTTCCGGTAATCGCTACAATATTAACACAAATACATGGAGATCGATATTTTTAAAGCTTTATTTTCGACTGGGCATTCGTCAGATACCTGAAGCAGAATAGTTTTATGTAATCTTATTGTTAACTTAAACAATATAATATCACCTGGTATCAACTTCCTTAGTTCAATAATATATAATTATTGCAAAAATCCAAAATATTTGGTATTGTTCCAAATTTATTGATGTATTCAATAAAGTATCTAAGCTTCTTCTGCCTCCCCTTCTTCCTCGTCAAACTCCCCCTCTTCCTCGGCGGTGGCGTCCTGGTACTGTTGGTATTCGGACACCAAGTCGTTCATATTGGATTCGGCCTCAGTGAACTCCATCTCATCCATACCCTCGCCAGTGTACCAGTGAAGGAATGCCTTGCGACGGAACATGGCTGTGAATTGCTCGGAGATACGTTTGAAGATCTCCTGAATGGCTGTGCTGTTACCAATGAAGGTGCCAGACATCTTGAGACCACGTGGTGGGATGTCACAGACAGCGGTTTTAACGTTGTTTGGGATCCATTCGACAAAGTAGCTGCTGTTTTTGTTTTGGACGTTGAGCATCTGTTCATCAACCTCCTTCATGGACATGCGCCCTCGGAACATTGCAGCTACGGTCAGGTAGCGGCCGTGACGGGGATCACAGGCAGCCATCATGTTCTTGGCATCGAACATCTGCTGAGTGAGTTCGGGCACAGTCAGGGCACGGTACTGCTGGCTTCCTCTTGATGTGAGTGGAGCGAATCCGGGCATGAAGAAGTGGAGACGAGGGAAGGGCACCATGTTGACAGCCAATTTACGGAGATCAGCATTCAACTGTCCAGGGAATCGAAGACATGTTGTTACTCCGGACATGGTGGCGGACACCAGATGGTTGAGGTCACCGTAGGTGGGTGTGGTCAGCTTCAGAGTCCTGAAGCAGATGTCGTAGAGAGCCTCGTTGTCAATACAGTAGGACTCGTCAGTGTTCTCAACCAGCTGATGTACAGACAATGTGGCGTTGTATGGCTCAACGACTGTGTCCGACACCTGAAACGAAGCAAAGTTACATTATCATCTGATGTAATCGGGACCTTTGGAACTGTTCAGTTGAGCTTTAGTCCATTTGCACCTGTCCGAAAGCTACTGATGATTAATTGTATACTGTTTGTTTGACAAGCTTTCGAGTAAACTTTTCAAACTATCAATACGATTAAAACAGCATTAGACTGAATAGTTACGACCTGACGTCAAGTTGTAGTTTTGTTTGTTTTACTCTCTGTATGTGTATGTATACGTGTGGTGTGTGTGTATGTGCGAATTGGTGTGTGTGTGTGTATGCGTGTTGAAAGGCCATTTGAAACAACGGTGCAGTTGTGTCACGAGGTGTCAGTTTAGTGTGTGAGAAAAGCCAAAGGTCTTATACATGTATTACTTTGGTGAAGTCAAGAAACTCAGCTATGGTATCGAGAAAAATCAAGGATCATAATCTCAGTGCGTATGTTGGATGCGCTGATTGATCGTAAATCTGTTTAGCAAATTGTGGCGTCTTAGGAGACTTAGGTCACATGTTCAGCCTACTAACTGGGCGACGGGATAAATATCAGAATCTAGCCACTGAAATATTTTCTACGTACCTTTGGTGATGGCACAACGGAGAAGGTGTTCATGATCCTGTCGGGGTACTCCTCCCTGATCTTGCTGATGAGGAGGGTGCCCATGCCAGACCCTGTGCCGCCACCCAGGGAGTGGGTCAGCTGGAAGCCTTGCAGACAGTCACAGCTCTCCGCCTCCTTTCGGACAACATCCAACACGGAGTCTACCAGCTCGGCGCCCTCTGTGTAGTGACCCTTGGCCCAGTTGTTGCCAGCACCGCTCTGACCGAAAACAAAGTTGTCTGGACGGAAGATTTGACCGAAAGGACCGGATCGGACAGAGTCCATGGTTCCGGGCTCCAGATCCACGAGCACAGCACGGGGAACATATTTGCCTCCTGGAAAAGATAACCATTCAATGCATTAGATTGTTTGCAATAAAATGAGACTTGTGTAGATTGATGTAATTCCTATTTACACTTTTCAATAAAATATTTGTCTTGAAAATTCAACTTCGTTATCATTATACATACCTGTAGCCTCATTGTAGTAGACGTTGATTCTCTCCAGTTGTAAGTCGGAGTCACCGTGGTAGGTACCGGTGGGGTCAATGCCGTGCTCATCGGAGATCACCTCCCAAAACTAAAACAATTTTAATTACTTTAATGTTTCACAAGGCAAGTTACACTTTTTGGTGACAGAATAGAACAAATATTATTGGTTATTACACTTGTTTTACGTATCACTCCCTTTTCAAAGCTTTCATGTTTTGCGAGGTACAAAGAAACAAGTTTATATTTCCAACAAACCAGTAATGTATGAAAACTCTGCTTCCTATAAAGTTCAATAAAATGATTGATTCCTCTGGGTATGTCATGTACAGAATACAAACATCTTAACCTTGCCACAATACGTCGTTGGTACTGTATCTTTGTAGCTTTCTGAGAACGTATATGTAGGCTAACTGTGCTTCATATTAAATTCAACAAAATGTATAATTCCTCCAGATACTATATGTATCCGTGTTTTAAATCATGAATATAACATGATTTGAATGCGGATTTACCTTAGCACCGATCTGGTTGCCGCACTGGCCAGCTTGCATGTGGACGATCTCACGCATGTTGAATGTTGGAGGAAGGAATGAAAGAGAAGTCCTTGTTACTGTAGAAGACTTGATGTGTTGCTAACCAGAACGAAATAGAGGCTGTTTTATACGACTACTCGCGTTGTATCCTTGTTTCTGATTGGCTGGTGGTTGCCCAGGCGTGTGTAACTAACAACATAGTAAATCGTAATCCTTCTGGGTCGCCATTGGATAATCACCTTATGTATCTTTCCTTCAATCATCACTTATTGTCATTGTCAAGACACTGTTGCCAATTAAATTAGACTGCCTTTCATATAATTAGTTTCAGTGTCTTGCGTCTTTTCAGTGTCGTAATTTATGTTTTTGTAGCGCACACAAGCTGAGTGCGTGTGTGTTTGTGTATGAACTTTGGTTTAGTTCAATGCATTAGTTGTAAAATCAATTTTGATTAAGATTTTATCGATGACAAGACCGTGTATTTTTGTATTTGTTTTGGAAAAAAATGTAAATGTTTCTGTGCATTTTAAGCACAAGTAGTGTAAGATAGAACAAATCGTAGTCACAATGATGGCATCGAGAACTTCAATAGTTTTATACCTGACAAGAGATTAATTTAGTTTCATTTTGAGACATAGGTAAATTCAATGAAAACTTTATTCACCTTTCTATTATATATACGTGTATGTTGTTCATAGTCTTCTTGTGTCGTATTCATTTTGCTCAGAGTATGTTATGTAGGTATGTAGGAATGTATGTAGGTATGTAGGTAGGCACACATGCACGTATGTATAGTTACAGGTAGGTAGGTAGGTAATAAAGAGAACATGTTATATCTGTATTAATTGCGTCGAAGATGAAATGCATGTTTTATTGTTATCTCCTTCACATACGTATATTAGAGAGAAATTTATACAACCATGTGTTGTTTTAAGATCTTAACAGAAAGGACGTGGTGTATTTCTTCAAACCAAACTCTCACCTTTTACATCGCGAGAACATGATATTTTACTCAAAATAAGAGCTATTGTATATATAAGATAAGAAGTGTGTTTCATGATATATATATATATATATATATATATATATATATATATATATATCATGAAACACAATGTATATATATATATGGTTATTGTCTCTCATAAATCGCTGTGCGATTGGTCATGACCAATCTGAAAATATAGATATTTTACGAACTTTATATCTTATATCTGTGATATAGTTAAACTAGATTAGGATTGTGTTTATAAGTTATGTTTCATCTGTGCCCGGTTGATTGTGTGATATAAACACACCTTATGGAGTAGTTATTTGAGTGATATAGAACATGGAACTATAAAACTATGGGAAAATAAACTCGTTTGACGTCAGAGTTTAATTTGCATTCTTATCAAATGAATGGAATTGCTATGGACGGATTTTTTATGCATACATAGTGATATCATGTTGATAATGATATGCTAGCTATGATAATATCACAATTCTCTAACATTAATGACACATATTCTATGCTATGTTTATATTTGTTATTGATATAAATAATTACATAATAAACATATCCTCCACATAACTCATATTTTGGTACTCATTTTGGTCATTTGTGTACATCTTCCCGAGGCAATGGTGGAAACTGAACTTTCAAAGTCAGTTAACTCCCTTTCCTCGGTTAGATGTTTGTGAGGGGCTGTTCCACTTTAGACTAAGGTAAACAAGTAATTACCAGTGCAGTCAACCTTGTCTAATCCCGGTATAAGATGTCTGATAATTGGTAAGTTACCGTTTATTTTCACTTCGTTGCCATACAAATAAGATATTGCCGTATAACTTTATATTGTGACTCACTCAAGCATTTATCAATGTATTTGCATACTATTGCAAATCACCAAAAGATAGAATCTACGTTTTATCCGATCACCTATGAACGCCTGCTTAAATACCAAAATATGAACAGGTTGGGATCCATAAGGTACACATACACATCTAGTAGCGCCTAATTAAGGGCTCAATGGAGGTGACTGGATCGTTAATGTTCCCCACTCAGCTTCATTATGTTGCCTTTGAACATATATAAGAATGACACCTATTTGGAGTATAATATATATTAAAGCCACTTCATGTGTGAATCAGATACAATATTTTAAAAATGTAATTTTATTAATGGTACACACATACAATTGTTCTGACGGAGAAGTCACTTTTCAACATAACATTAGTGAAGCGACGAGGGATGCTACTAATTATTAGTGTTAAGTCTGAATAGTAGTCATAAATGATGAAGAACAAACAAAAAATAATATAGATGTAATTAGTACTCTAACGTTAAGGTTTCAGGGAACCTTCCCATCTCAGTGTCCAGAGTATTGTAAAGAACCACGTCTTAAACTTGCCAAAGTACGTTGTTGGTATCTTTGTAAAATTGTAAGAACGTATAAGAAATGTAAGAACTAAAAAATGAAACCGTGCTTCATATAGAGTTCAATAAAAAAATACATTTATTTTGAAATGACACAATTGAAGTCTCCTCAAATTTAAGGTCGTATTTCACAATGTGCACACGACGCACGATTTGGATGCGCGTTTGGTGGGAGCATGATACTCACACCACAGTTTCTTTAATATGAATAGCATACACTGATCCTTTGGCTTTTAAGGTGTTAATAATGCGCTTTTGTTTAACCGTAAATAACGATTTCGCAATGACACGGATTGTTGAATATCAGTAGTCCAAGTTCCCTTTACGTCGAGCAATATTCCAGCAGTTCCAGCCTTCGGTGTCTACATTTCACAACTTTCAAGGTGGGATCGAGCATACCCTCATGTTACCAAGATTTCAAAGAGTGTCATATCAGTGTTGCTTGAAAGTTGTTTGATCAGGGTTAAAACATTCAAGGCTTTTGTATATCTTTCAAAAAAGTGTTATGATAGACATGTGGAAGACATTTCAAAATTTGACGCATCAGTGACAATAATGCTGACTGATTTTGACTTGTGAATGTGAATAACTGACTTGCCTTTGATTGTGTTTGTGACAGGTGCCAGCAGTGTTTCGTGAACATCTGTTTCATCACAATTTGACAGTGTTTCTTAAGCACATGATTATGATATTATATTCGGAATTGCACAATAAACTACGTGTAAACATCTTTTATTACAGAAATGATTAATTATCTACTTCTTGTGTTTATCTCTGTACACAAATTTTGACTGCGCAATAGGAAGATGAAACGTTTTTGTGGTTGTCTCAAACCTTTAACCACCTTAACACATCTAAGGATTGCTTAATGCTGTTTGAAACCGAGATCACGACATTCTAGGAAATGTACGATTGCATGTATTTCATTGGGTCCATACTAACAAGATACTTGTTGATACTACGAGAAAAGTATTTTGCTGTCTGAGTACGATGACAAGCAATATACCAAGTCACCGAACCTGACCACTTAATCCATTTCAGTTACCTCATATAAAAGACGTCAATCCCATTAACATTTGATCTTAGTTCTTGCTACAGCTAAACAAAGATCTGAGGACATCCCATTACTGGTCACGTTAGAACGACCTTACATCCGACCAATCAGAGCGTCGATTACCAGATCATGAAAGTGACAGTCGGAGAGTTTGTTCCTAATCATGCAACCTCGAACAATTTAGCACGGGGTATTCCGAACGACAGTTACGGGCTTTATGACTGAATCCATACAATCTGGGCCATCAATAAGCCATTCCAGAATGTTCTGCTGTTCAGTTTTCAAATTTGTAAACGATAACTTGTCAAAATATGTTTCGAAGCGCAGTCGCCGCAAAGCACGAGAAGGCTGCATTCTTATTGGCTAATGTCGGGATCTTGTCAGTTATTCCATTGGTGGGTCACAGTTCGCGAAAGGTCAGTCTGACGTGACCCGAAATAGAATGTCCTTAGATCTTTGTTTAGCGGTAGCCCGCACTCAGATCTGATTTTAATGAGATTGGACCGACATAGGTTACTGAGGACCAACTCTACCCCTGTATCTCCACAGAGCTAACACGTCTAGTCTCGTGGAATGTTGGTGTAACATTCATGTTCACCCATGCTTGACATGGCTAGTCATGAAGAGTAATGTATTGTGTATTTTGTGTAGTCCTTGACAACTGACTGATGAATTTCATTTAACGATGTAACAGCCACATACACAGCAATTGCTCCTAAATTATAAAGCACAGTATCGATGTCACCTATTTATAGTAACTATAACTGGTCATCGATATATCACTATTTGACCAAGCATGTTGGCAATAGATGAACATTCTCGTTGCTTATGCTATCAGCCACAGGTTCGCCTGGTCCAGAACTTATTATTTGCGGGCGGACTTATTATTAAGGAAGACAATTTATGGATTACAACTTCTAAACAATGAAGTTGACATCCACAAATTCTCTTCCTTATGTGTATCACTTCTAAATGCCTTTCAAGGTTTTGGATGTATTATTGCGTGGACAAGCATTATTCTCCCATCCACATATTAGTCGGGACCATAGGTTGGTATTCTAGCCACACTTGGTCTCCAATATTAAAGAAGTTGTTTGAAATGATGAAATGGGGTTTAACGTCGCGTACAAGATCATTGCACTAATATAGCGACGTGCATGCACCCGTGTGTGTGGCTGCTAGTCCGGACTGACGCTGAGTTAAAGCACACTGAGATACCATGCCGCAGTTTGACGCACTCAGACACAGTATACTCCGAGCTGGTGCTTGTTTCTGGTATGACGCGGACGGGGAACGTACCCCGGAGCTTCCGCTCTCCTGGCGGAGGCTCTACCACTAGACCATGGAGGCGGTTGTTTGAAAAAGGACGTGATTCTATCCTTACTGTAGCATGTCAACTCATTCTTTTACGCATTTCTAAGATGTGTTGTTATAACAACTGATGTGGTTTACATTAACGCATATAAAGGAAACATATTTTTGTGAAGATTTATTTCTGAATATACATTTGAGGACCAGTATTCTAGGCCTCCTCAGCTTCTCCTTCTTCCTCGTCAAACTCTCCCTCTTCCTCGGCGGTGGCGTCCTGGTACTGCTGGTATTCAGACACCAAGTCGTTCATA